AAAAAAAAAACAAAAACGAAAAACGAAAACCAAACAATCAATCAATCAATCAATCAATCAATCAATCAACCAATCAACCAATCAACCAATCAATCAATCGACCAATCAATCAATGAATGAATGAATCAACCAACCAATCAATGAATCAATCAATCAATCAATCAATCAATCAATCAATCAATCAATATCTTCATTGATTGATTGATTCATTGATTAAATGACTGTTTGATTGATTAATCAATCAATCAATCAAACAGTCAATCAATCAATCAATCAAACAGTCAATCAATCAATCAATCAATCAATCAATCAATCAATCAATCAATCAATCAATCAACCAACCAATCAATCAATTAGGTTGATTGATTGATTGAATATTTGATTTGATTGATTGATTGATTGATTGATTGATTGCTTAATTGATTGATTGGTTGGTTGATTGATTGATTGATTGATTGATTGATTGATTGATTCTACCGCTACAACATCGAAATATGCACTGCCACACAATTTTATTTTATTTTTATTTTTTCAGAAAGCGACTCCTTGTTCACGAATTTCGTACTTGTGGTCTGCAGGTCCTGCGTCCACGGACACTCGGCACGGCGACGACGGGGACTTCGCTTGGACGGCTTCCTTGACAGCATTTTCGAGGACAGGAACGGATAACAAAGGGTCTGCGGCCGACGATGGCTTCTGGGGCTGCAGGGGAATCTGGGGGGAATGACTTCAGACCGGCGTCCGATGCTACCATGGCGTTATTGGGATCCATATCGGCTATCTGGAAGCATGTCACACAAGGACAGAAGGTGGGGACATGGGAGAAGATGCACGGCGACCACAAGTTGCACTGCAACTACTGCAAGGTCATTTTCCAGGGAAACCAGAGCAAAGCAGTGCGGCACTTCACACAGCCTAAGAAGTGCAAGCAAGCATTGCTGTCCGTTTTGGCGGATATATGAACAAGACGCACTACAATTTTGACCCGCGTCACGAGGAGGGTATCCTGCGTTATATGGAGGAGATGGGCATAGTTGACGCCCGATCTTTGTCAGGGAGGGGCACGCAGAGGAGACAGGCAGGTGAAGGGTTCGATGTGCACCGTGATGACAATATGATGGACCCTGTGGACGAGGTGGAGGCATTTTTGGACCGGGAGGCGAGGCGAGAGGCCGATGCCATGCGAGGCATTACGGAGGTGGGGAGGGAGGGTGGTTCGAGTCCCCGTTCTCTTCATTTGAGAGGGGAGGAGGTCGTGATGATTGCGCGTGGCACGGGAGGTGGATCCCGTGATGCTAAGCAGAGAGAGAGAGAGAGAGTGAGAGCTGTCTCTTATACACATCTAGATGTGTATAAGAGACAGGTGTATATGTGTGTGTGTGTGTGAGAGAAAAAGAGAGAGTGAGATTGGTTAATTGATTGATTGATTGATTAACTAATTGGTTGATTGATTGATTG